TATAAATCGTTTCATCAATGTCTCCATTGAGAAACGTTGTCTTTACATCCATCTGATGTAGCTCTAAATCAAAATGAGCTACAAGTGCCATTATTGTCCTAAAGGAGTCCTTTGAAGAAACCGGAGAAAATGTCTCTTTATAATCAATGCCTTCCCTTTGAGTGAAACCTTTGGCGACTAGACGAGCCTTATATCTTTCGACATTGCCTCTTGAATCCCTTTTGGTTTTGAATATCCATTTGCAACCAATGGGTTTCGAACCTTCAAGCAACTCAACAAGATCCCAAACATCATTGTCTTTCATGGATTTCATTTCTTCTTGCATGGCATTGATCCAGTGATGAGAGTTAGAGCTTCGCGAAGGTTGATTGGATCATCTTCTACTAAGCCTACAGAGTCTTCTTGCTCCAGGAGGAACACGATATAATCATATGGAATCTCACTTCTCCTTTGTCTATTGGATCTCCTTAATGGCACTTCTTGAGGTTGTCGAGTTTGCTCTATGGAAGGAACTTCATTGTTGTCTTGAACCGGAATCGCTTCATGAACAGTGTCAGGAATTGTTGTCTGATCACTGTCGATAATAATATTAGGAAGAGAAATGAGTTTCTCTTCTTGCAAGATAACTGTTTCGTCAAAAGAGACGTTCCTTAATCCTTCCCCTCCAAACTCAGCATCTTCAAGAAATCTCGCATTTCCCGTCTCAAAGAAGGAGCGGGTAGTGAGATCATAGAACTTGAACCCTCGAGAACGTTCCGCGTATCCAACAAAGTAACAGCTAACTGTCCTAGAGTTCAATTTCCTTTCGTTGGGCCTATAAGGCCTCGCTTCAGCTGGACATCCCCAAATGTGTAGGTGCCTTATGCTGGGCTTCTTCCCAGTCCACAACTCATACAAGGTTTTAGTTACTACTTTGCTGGGTACTCTGTTAAGGATATACACTGCAGTTTTTAATGCTTCTCCCCAAAGTGATTCAGGTAAAGAAGAATGACTAATCATGCTTCTTACCATGTCCTTAAGTGTCCTGTTTCGTCTTTCAGCAACACCATTCATGCTGGGTGTACCCGGCATGGTGTACTGTGGGACGATACCGCATTCCTTTAGGAAGTTAGCAAAGGGTCCTGGACGTTGCTCTCCTGATCCATCATATCTGCCATAGTATTCCCCGCCATGGTCAGATTTGACGGCTTTAATTTTCTTACCAAGTTGAAGTTCAACTTCAACTTTATAAGACTTGAAAATGTCCAGGGATTGAGACTTCTCACTTATTAAGTATAGGTACCCATACTATGAATAGTCGTCTATGAACGTAATGAAGTACTGCTGGCCATTCCATGCAGGCATAGGGAATGATCCACAGATGACCGTATGTATCAGTTCTAAGACTTTCGTACATCTATTGGCACCTATTTTCTTTGTGTTCGTTAATTTTCCCTTAATACACTCAATACAGACTTGGAAGTCTGTTAAATCAAGGGAATCAAGAATTCAGTCTGACACAAGCCTCTGAATTCTCTATTTAGAGATGTGGCCTAAGCGCTTATGCCATAAAGAAGCAGAATTCTCGGTTAATTTACGCTTTGCACCTTTAGTACTTGCATGCAGGATTGCATTGTGGAAAGCAATAGTTTCTAACATATAAAGACGATCAATTAAAATACCAGTACCAATAACATTTGAATTTAGAGAAATACTAACTTTATTATTTCCAAAACCACAAAAGTAATCAGATTTGTCCAAATGGGAAATAGAAATTAAGTTCCGTTTAAATGACGGAGCTACAAACGTCTCAGCTAAATTCAAATAACAATCAATTTTTAAAATCAATCTAAAATGTACTACAGCTTCCACAAGAACTTTATTGCCATCGCCTACATAGATGAATCTTTCAGCATCAGTTGGCGGTCGGCTCCAGATGTAACCCTGCATAGACACACTTATGTGAGTAGTAGCGCTAGAATCTATCCACCAAGTGTTTATAGGTACAGAAGCTAAATTAGCCTCAAAACAAACTAAAGTGAGAGACGTACCCTTCTTTATACGCCAGGCGGCGTATTTGGGACACTCTTTCTTCATGTGTCCTCCTTTCTTGCAGAAAAAACAGGTGAATCCATCACCTTGCTTCTTCGCCTTTTTTCTGCGTGGGTGTTCCATTTGCAGTATCCTTAGTTCTCTTCTTTTTATTATTCTGAGAGGTTGATGCTAAGTGAGCACTTTCCATTTTTTTTCTCTGGATTCTTTCTTCTTCTTGCACACATTGAGAAATGAGCTCATTAAGAGTCCATTTCTCCTTTTGAGTATTATAACTCACCTTAAATTGACTGAATTGTGCAGGAAGAGAAACGAGAACTAAATGCACGAGCAAATCATCATTTATCTCTAACTTTAGTGCCTTTAGTTTAYYSGCAAGATTCGACATTTCCAGTATGTACTCCCTTATATTTCCTTTTCCCTTGTACCTCATAGAAATTAGAGTAGCTAAAAGGTTGCTAGTCTCCATTTTCTCATTTTTGGCGAAATACTGTTGTATTGCCACAAGGGATTCCTTAGCATTATTGCTCTCAGAAATAGAGCCCCTAAACGCTTCTGGGATGGAACGTTTCATAATCACCAGATTCATGCGATTAGAGCGATCCCATTTCTCAACTTTGGCCTCATTGGAATTGTCCTCAGCCGGGATGGGTCGCTCCGTCCTTAACGCAAGGTCTAAATCCATGCAGCCGAGAACTATTTCCACATTCTCTTTCCAGATCTTAAAGTTTGTACCATTCAGCATGGGAATGGCACTGATTTGAGCAGAAACATTATTTGCAGTTGTTGAAACTGAACAGAGAACAAAACCAACATATAATCAATAATAATATAAATTACAAAGGCAAGATACCCAACACAACTTGGCATTTAGTGATACTCTCAACGCAACAATCAAACATTGATAATGAATCCTGTCAAACAATAGCCTTTCTTTGGACCAACTACTATTCACATGGATAATAGCTTTACAATATCAATATTGATCATCGCATGTGTGTTCATTGCCTGGCCAAACATCAGCCTTCCTTTGGGCCGACCAATGTCCGCATGGACAATGATCACACAAAATCTTTATATTTCAAATCAAATTAATTTTACACTACAGAGGCTACTTTGGTAACATGCTGCTTCAATCAATTTAATTTGAAAAGTGTATTCATCAAAAACTGTATTCATCGCATGCATGACAAAGTAAAAAAAAAAAGGTTCAAGGTTACTTCCATGCAAAAAAAATAGAAAAACGGATGCATGCAAATTACTTACGTGCATGCAAATCACGATCCCAATTTTTTTTTTTGAATCGGTTCTGTAGATGCATCGAATCACTGATGCGATTTTTTTGCATTCCAGAGACGCATCGCAACACTGATGCGTTGTTTTTTGTTTTTTGGGTTCCAGAGACGCATCGCAACACTGATGCGTTGTTTTTTTTTTTTGTCTACTGAAACCGCATTGAATCATCACAATGCGTTTTTTTTTTTTTTTTTGTCAAAACAGCCTTGCTTCATGGCTGTTTGGCAAGCACACATAAAGAGGTAATCCTAATAACCCAACATGATATAAGGCTCTGATACCACTTGTGAAAAAACTAAAGGGGGAGCAACCAAATCCTAATCTTGTTGAATCAAACCTATACCATACAATATACGAAGAACAAGAAGTCAAGTTGCACCCCAAGGTATATCATGCTGCAGTTATCAAGGAGGTTTGAACATAAATACGTGTATCCATCGTAGCAGACGAACCCTTGCGGAATGAGTGATGAATCAATGCTTGGTCTACTGGTGTGGTTTTTCCTCAGTTAAATATTTCCTTCTTCCTTAGGTTTTCTAAGCTCTTTGACTCTAATGGGGTAGAGCAAGGAGGGTAGCTAGATGATTTAACATATTGAGAACCATAACCTAGGAGCCTTTATATTTTGACCTAATAGGATCCCATTAAGCCTATATGGGCCAAAATGTGGTATCCACTCATTAAGCCTCATACCTTCTTGTTGAAGTTTACGGGCTTTGCATAAATGAATCACTTGATTTAGCCCATTTACAAAATAGCCTATCAATGCAATTGTTTCACTGAATATGTAAGCCCACTTAACAGAGATTAAAACCTAACATTGTTATCTTCTTCTAGCATTCTTCTTCTCTCTCTAGTTCTTTTCATTATCTTCTTTGTTAGTTTAGTATTATTTGAAATCTTTCAATGACAACGTGGATAGGGTTTTTGACAAAGATGTACTGTGAGAAAGTAAAGTTGACAGTGCTATTGGAGGTGGAGAAGGTGGGGAGCTGGATGCTGTTGGGGAAGAGTCTTGGATTCTTGGACTTAAAGAAGGAGAAGAAAACTATACACATGTTTAAGTGACTATCATAGGCACAGTCAGTAGTTCTGATTATGATTTTACTTCGTTGGCGATTTCCTACCTTTATCGGTAAAGTGCTTTTAATCAGGGTTATTTTGGTTATTTAATTTTTTTATTTTAATAATTTAAAAATTATATCTGCATTTCGGTAATTTCACCATATACTCAAGTGCTGCAATTAAAAGTTTAGGGTACCTATCTTTCACTATCCCAAATTACAGGGTACCTATCTTTAATTTACCCTAATGAATATCTTCATTAGTGTTGAGAGAGTTTCATGGTTGCTCAATCGTCCTTCTTCCCCAATGCATTAATACAATAATGTCTTGTTTTCTATTTTTATGAAATTAGTAGTGTTTTTAGTAATCTAAATTTATCATTGGTAACCTAAATTGAGTTGAGAATGGACATTTTCAGTAATGTATTTATTTTAATCAAATGGTAATCAGGTTTGTCGTTGATCATTTTCTATTCATTGAATTATAGTCTTTAGAAGATAGGAGAGGTCAGTATTTTTTTGGGGGGGAGAGGGGGGGGGGGTGGTCGAAAAGGCAAAAACATCTGGTTTGATTACTGGTTAAACATACTAACCTCCGCCTCAAAAGCGGTCTATCTTATATATCTCTCAAGCCAGCCTTTCCCAGCCTTTCGGCCCTTTCCCACTCTTCAAGAAGTTGTAAAGTCGTTCTATCTTACTATAAATTAAACACCACACAGGGACCTCTTCATTTCCAAACACAAGCTCTCAAAGAATAACGGTGAAGAAGCAGCAGCCGCAGCAGAACAGGACTGAAGAATACTAAGGTGGAAGCAATCATCAATGGCGTCAGACAAGGTGGTAGAGACGGTTATTGTTGGAAACTATGTGGAGATGGAGAGTGAAAGGAAGCCCAAGGACATCAAAACCAGATTATCAAAGATATTTTGGCATGGTGGTTCAGTTTATGATGCTTGGTTCAGCTGTGCTTCTAATCAGGTTTCCTTGAAAAAAAAAATCAATCATAACGGCTTCCCTCTTTGTTTTTCGCCGGTTTCTGTTTAGAGTAATTGACTCGTATATTCATACATCTTCATGGGTTTTGCTTTTCTGTTTTCAGGTGGCTCAGGTTCTGCTCACTTTGCCGTACTCATTTTCTCAGCTGGGAATGCTATCTGGGATACTATTCCAGTTGTTCTACGGCTTGATGGGTAGTTGGACGGCCTACCTCATTAGCATTCTATATGTAGAGTACAGAACCAGAAAAGAAAGAGAGAAAGTGGACTTCAGGAACCATGTCATTCAGGTTCAGACTCACCAATATATACACGACTATGTTCAATGTTTCTTAATATTTAGGTGTGATCCATTTCCTTACATGTCTTTTTCTCTATGTTTTCTCCATTGAAGTGGTTTGAAGTTTTGGATGGGCTCCTCGGGAAACACTGGAGGAATGTAGGCCTGGCATTCAACTGCACATTTCTTCTGTTTGGATCTGTCATTCAACTCATTGCCTGTGCAAGGTATATCTAGTTTAATTTAATTATTGCTGTAGGCTGAAGCTAGCTAGCTAGCTAGCTAGCTAGCTAGCTCCTTTAATTCTTTTATTAGTTGATTCCATGTTATATTTCTATATATATATATATGAGAGAGAGAAGAGAAGAGAAGAGAAGAGAGGGAAAGATAGCAATGTTTATTGAAACATGGGTTCCTCTGAACGCAGCAATATCTATTACATAAACGATAATCTAGACAAGAGGACCTGGACGTACATCTTCGGAGCTTGTTGTGCAACTACGGTCTTCATTCCCTCTTTTCACAACTACAGAATCTGGTCTTTCCTGGGCTTGATAATGACCACTTATACAGCTTGGTATCTCACCATTGCCTCTCTCCTTCACGGACAGGTAATATGAATAATTTTTAAAATGAAGTTCAAACAAAAGAATCTGAATATTTGTAGGACTTAATTATCAATTTTGTTTAATGCAGGTAGAAGGAATTAAGCATTCAGGTCCAACCAAGCTAGTTCTCTATTTCACAGAAGCAACAAACATTCTCTACACTTTTGGGGGGCATGCCGTTACAGTGTAAGACAAATTATGCCTAGATAATAAGGGATTAACCCTCCCTCCATCACTATCTTATTTAATTATTTACAGAATTAATCCTCCATTTTCTTATTAATAAATTAAAGGCATCATCATTCATGCATGGGGATTGAAAATATTCCTTTTGAAGGTTATAATTCGATCAACTACTAATTATGATGCATCTGCTTATTAATAATGATGAGAAAGGAAAAACACTTTTCTGTCCCCAGGCAGAAACCAGAATAGCGCAATAGCCCTCCCCTCCCCTTTTCAAAGATTCGCGTGGGAGGCAAACCTCTGATTTCTTGGGAACCCGTATTTGTTTGTTGTGTGTTTATTAATTAATTAGAGCTGAAATACAAATGGACACGCAGAGAGATCATGCACGCAATGTGGAAGCCTCAGAAGTTCAAGGCGATATATCTTTACGCGACGCTGTACGTGCTGACACTGACGCTCCCGTCGGCCATCGCCGTGTACTGGGCATTCGGGGACTTGCTTCTGAATCACTCCAACGCCTTTGCTCTGCTTCCGAGATCACCCTTCAGGGACATGGCCGTGGTATTGATGCTCATCCATCAGTTTATAACCTTCGGCTTCGCATGCACCCCTCTCTATTTCGTGTGGGAGAAGGCCATCGGGATGCACGAGTGCAAGAGCTTGTGCAAGCGCGCGGCTGCCAGGCTACCGGTCGTCATCCCCATCTGGTTCCTCGCCATCATCTTCCCTTTCTTCGGCCCCATCAACTCCACCGTTGGATCGCTTCTCGTTAGCTTCACCGTTTACATCATCCCTGCTCTTGCCCACATCTTCACCTTCCGATCCGCAGCTTCTCGAGAGGTATGTCAAATTGTCAATGCAATGCTCTATTCCCTGTTTTTCCTATTTAAGGATTTGCCACGTGGCAATTGGAGAGTGGGGGGACCTTCAGACTTCAGCGCGTTTTTTGGTCAACCTACTATTTCGTTGTGCTTTGACTGGACTGATTACTTATACGCTTTTTAGAAGAGAAACTGAAAAAGAGAGTGTAGCGTGTAGTGATTGGTGAGAGTGAGTACTTTGTAGGGGGCGAGAGCGGTCCGGTCCAGCGGACAGCGGAGCGGAGCAGTCGAGCAGAGCAGAGCAGCACTCTTCCTTTCTCCGACACTAATCTTATTTTCTGCCGTATCTTATAATATTTTATTTATATAAATAAAAACTAAGAAAAGTAAAACGAACATAAGAAATAAAAAAACAAAAAAACAAAATATTTTTGCAGAAGCGTGCGATGCTTGCTAATGCAGAATACACTTTAGTCAGAAGAGGGGTATCGAATCACTGATCAGTCTCAGTACGTGATTCCCCCCAAGCCTTAAGATTTGCCCTTGGATTGAGGCCACCCAAACACGTGGCATGATTGTAACCAATCATCAGTACTACAGGATTGGCGGGGTCCACACCAATGTTACGTATGATCCTACCTTGAGTGGTGGGAGGTATCAAATGGATGAGTGGGGACGTTCTGTGCTTGTGATTTTATTTTTAGTGTCCGTTTGGTTGTAGTCGGGAATTAGAATTCTTTGGAATGGCAATGGTCTATTCCCTAATCTGTTTTGGTTCAAACGGGAATTAAAATTAGAATCAGTTGGAATGGAATCTCATTCTCAAAAGAGGGGAAGAGAATGGCCATTCCCTCAAGTGAGAAAATGATATTCCACCAGAAATGGAGATAAAATTATGATTCAGTTCAATCAAACAATACCAATTCTAAACCTCTATTCCTGTAAATGAAATGAACACTTAGGTTATGTTTGGTTTGAAGGAAAAGGAATGAAGAGGTATGGTATATATATATATATATATATATAAGATTTATAAAGATTTTTCAACTTTTTCCAGCAAATCAAACACAGCCTTAATTTTTTTTGCTGTTGCAACTTACAAATGTAGAAATGTAGGTAGGATGATGTGATATATATACAAATTAATTCTTGTTTGTTGTGTTGATGTTGCATGCAGAACGCAGTGGAGCAACCGCCGAAGTTGCTAGGGAGATGGGCGGGAATATATTCGATAAACGTATTTGTAGTGGTGTGGGTACTGGTAGTTGGGTTTGGATTCGGTGGGTGGGCGAGCATGACCAACTTCATCCACCAGATCGACACCTTTGGACTCTTCACCAAGTGTTATCAATGTCTTCCCCCTCTACCAACCTCAACCTCGCCTCACCCTCCTTTTAACACCACCACTGCTCCTCCTCCCACTCCTCACCACCTCCATCACAACCAACATCTACACAGCCCATGATCCATCTACCTCAATCAATCAATCAATTATCGGCTAGCTTTTGATGTCTGCACAGATACTCTTCATCTTTTATCATATCACATCAAAAAGCCAAGAAAAAAAAAAAAAAGACAGAGAAAGCGCATCGCTCAAGTCCTACTCGATCGATCGTTCACCCTTGAAACGGTGGGTGCATCACCAAAGTTAAAAAGAACTTGTCCTTGGCTCGTGGCTTTCCTTCTCCTGAACTCTTAGAAGACAAAACCATCTCTTCCTTTCTCTCTTTATCTATTATTGTTAGACTTGTTTAGCTTATCAGTAGTTATCAGTGCCTTTGTTATTATGTAGTTTGGGAATGAAATGCTATAAGAAATTCATATGCTAGATTGCAAAGTAAATGGTCATGCTCTGCTTGCTTGAATGAATAAAGAATAGTTGTAAGCATCTTTTGCTCTCTATGAAGAGAAGGATGACGTACAAAAGCCATAGAAAGACAGAAAAAGAAGAGAGCAAGAGAAGAAGAATGCACAGGTGAATTGGGTTTAGTGTAGGGTAAGAAGCTGGGAACAACATATAAAGTTGTGTCCAATCCATCAAAGGCTCCAGCCCTTTTCTCAGGAGACCAAATCCCTTTACAAACGCATGCGAGACCATGAAAAGAAAGCACCGTCTCTTTCCAGTAAAGGGTTGAAGCCCCGTCCAATCACCCATCTATTTGCTATACAGCAACAGAAAAAGATTGAGTTGTCTGTGTAATGTATCAGATAACTGGACAACAAAACAACAGAATGATTTCTGCATGCCGCTAACAACCAAATCCGAACTCTGAAGGTCTTCTTCATGCTCAACACACACACACACTAGTTTCTCAGCTCAGATATGAAGTCTGGTCGGACTAGAATGGGTTAATTTGGATAGGTCCATCATCAGTCCGCCAAGCCCAAAACCCCGAATCAACGTATTAACACAATCATCCCCTTGGGGAATCCAGGAATGATAACATTAGAATATGGAGATGTGATGTTACCTATAAAGCAACATATTGGATTGGAGGCACCGAGACAACCACATGACATGACCAAAATTCAACTTCTTTCCTGGCCTCCTTTTGTTTTGTGCTTATCAATTTGCATAGAACAGTAACATGCCATGTGAGCAGAGCTGTCTGCACTCTGCAGTGAGGTTTGGGTTGTCTATTGTGAGTGTAGGATGAGTAAAATTTAAAGCCGAGTCTGCTCTTTGGCATATATGCTAACTGGCTTTAATTTGGAGTAGGGATAGGGAGCCGGTTCTTGTTTTTTATGGATTTTGAGAAAGGGAGAAAGTTGGTCAATGGAAACCAAAATTTCATTGACCAAGACATCCATGGTGTGTAATTTTTAAATGAGTACAGTGGTTTTGGAGGCATGCCTATGCGGTAAATTCCCCTCTTATATTTATGTGAGGACCAATGAAATTTTATTTTTCTTATATACTTCAATGAAATAAAAATACCTCTTTTAATAATAAATTTGTATGGATAAAAAGATAACTACCTTATTTATTTGAAAAATTAAAAAATATGCATGAATAAATACAATATCCCAGAAACACTTACCCTAATAAAGTGTATTTACTTGAATAAATAATTAATTAACGAAAAAAAAAGAAAACAGGACCTTAATAATAATTCATCGTTGCATCCTTAATTGAGAGCCTATGCTGAAATCAGATTCTTTTGTCTGCTCTTCAGAAGTGAGGTGGGGCTTTGAAAAGCCAGATTCCAGAACAAAAATTTAGGGGCCACACTACCACTAGCTGTTTCATTTCACCCTTAATTACGTTTAGAGACAACTGCAAAATAAAGTCATTGTGTACGAATGTTTTGTCTCTGGTAAACCGCAAAATAAAAAATGGGATTTTAATGCAACTGTAAAATACATATTGCATACGATTTACAGTGGGGCTCCCTGAACAAGTTAAAGAAAAATCTACTCTTGTTTTTCTTTTTCATTTTCTTTATGAATTGGCTAGTTTTCCTTGTTTCTTTTTTATGCGAGAAAGGCAATAGCCTTTAGTTAGCTCAAATGCTCAAGTTACAATCTGAAAACACAGGATGAGCAAGGAGATTAATGAGATATATAATACATCAGAGCAAATAAACACTCTATAAATAGTGAGAGCTTTATTTGCAAGGAAATGAGCCACTTGGTTGCTAGATGTCTCACAAAATGAGCAGAGAGCAATCGGCCACGATTGTTCATATGCGCCAAAGGAGAAGAAGGAGGTATAATTCTCCAACAGGTACATTATAACTTTTATAGTGCATGTCCCTCAAATATCACATGATGAAATTGAAATTCAATAGAAAGCTTCAAAGCAGCCTCCCACACGGCTAGAACCTCAACCTCTGTTAATGGTTATTATCCTTGCATCAAGAGATCAATCTTATCCAGCTATAACTCAGCAGTTGTGTTCTATAATTCTATCTGTTGTATATATCTTTATCTTGACAAGTGTTGTATTGTAACTCAAACTCTTTATTTATAAATAAACACAAGGTTGATGGACTTCATCCATCAATCTATTCACGTAAATCTTTGTATCCGTAAAACCAGAGCTTTTCTGGTTTGTTTTTCTTATGTATTATTCATTGAAAATTCAAATATATATACATGAATGCACAGCCACCAAACTCCTAAGCTTATGGCAACTAGAACTCCTAAGCTTACAGGGACTCAATCTTTCCTATCCTATTTGAACAATTCATGATAAGGAAAGAAGGAAAGAAGATATATACATGAACGGACTCCTAATCCTAACACCCCCCTCACGTTGGAGCATGCAGATTGTGAATGCCCAACTTGCGGAAAAAGTATTCAAATTCTCTGCGACCCAGTGCCTTTGTAAAAATGTCAGCCAGCTGAATGGTGGTCAACACGTAAGCAAGACGAATGCAACCATTTTGAATCTCATCATGTACAAAATGGCAATCAACTTCAATGCCGCAATATGCAAGGCTGCCTGACTATCACAATATAATTGCATTGAATTTGAATGCGTAACTCCAAGAGCCAATAACAATCCCTTCAGCCATTTTAATTCACACGTGGTCGTGGCCATAGAACGATACTCTGCTTCCGCTGAAGAACGAGCCACAGTGTGTTGTTTCTTAGTTTTCCAGGAGATCGGTGATTTTCCAAGAAAAATAAACCATCCAGACAGAGAATGTTGGGACAGAGGACAACTCGCCCAGTCTGAATCACACCATCCATATAATTGCAAGTCACAATCTGAACGCAAGAGAATTCCTTGACCAGGATTTCCTTTCAAGTAGTGCACCACTCGCAATGCAGCCTCCCAATGTCTTTCTTGCGGTTGCTGCATAAATTGGGACAGAACATGCACGCAATAAGACAACTGAGGACGAGTTGCTGAGAGATAAATAAGCCTGCCCACCAAGCGCCTGTATCGCTTAGGATTAGATAAAAGAGGCCCATCTGTCAAGGCGAGATTGTGATTCTGCTCCATAGGAAAATGAGCAAGTTTTGCACCAAGTAATCCAACTTCAGAAATAATATCCAGAGCATACTTTCATTGAGACAGAAAAATTCCTGTTGAGTTTTGGGAACTTCAATGCCCAAAAAATATTTTAATGGTCCCAAGTCTTTCATATGGAAGCAGTCACTCAAATATTTCTTGCAGACTTGAATTGCCATACGATCATTACCTGACATGATAATGTCGTCCATATACACGAGAACAAGCACATGCACCCTATCTCGACGAAAGGTGAATAGGGAGTAATCTGAACCTGATTGCTGAAACCCATATGTCTTCAAGGTTGCGGTTAATTTAGCAAACCAACATCTCGGCACTTGTTTCAAGCCATACAGAGATTTTCGCAACCGACACACCATACCTGGTTTATCTGACTGAAAACCAGGAGGCATTCGCATGTAGACTTCCTCATGAAGGTTACCATGCAAGAATGCGTTATGTACGTCCATTTGATGAACCTCCCAATTTCTAGCTGCTGCGACTGCAAGAAAGGTACAGACAGTAACCATTTTTGCAACTRGGGCAAAAGTTTCATTATAATCAATTCCCTCAACTTGCTTGTTCCCAAAAATCACGAGACGGGCTTTGTATCTTTCCACTGTCCCATCAGCGTTGTACTTGATTCGATACACCCATTTGCATCCTATGGCTCATTTTCCGGATGACAAAGGCTCTACGGTCCATGTCTGATTATTCTCAAGTGCCTATATTTCTTTCTACATTGCATCCCTCCATTTTTCATCCTTTACGGCCTCAGCAAAAAAAGTAGGTTCAACTTCTACAGTAATAGCTGCCAAAAAAGCACGATGTCAACAAGAAAAACTATTACAATTCACATAGTTATCTATGGGATAAGGACTACCTGCAGGATGTGATTGGCCGAGTGAGCTTGCAAAGGGACGCGGAGAGGGACTCAAGTGTTGTGTGGTGTGAAGCACATAATCTCTCAACCTTGTGGACTGCTGTTTCTGTCGATGCCCACGCCTCAAATGAAATTCAGAGTGTTGTTGTTGCACAACATGTTGCTGTTACTCAACATCACCACCCCCCTGACATCAGAATTGTCTTCGGTTGCATTCTTTGTGGTGGCGTCACAAGAATGCATGGGTTCACCAGCATTTGCATTTGGGTTTATGTGGGTTCCTTCTTCTACACGGACTCCTTCTTCAGTGAGTTCATCTCGCTGGGTAGTCTCCATCTCACCATTTGCTAGTCCAGGTAAACAAGTGGAGGGTACCAACACCTCATCTGTCCCACCAATTCCATAATTAAATTGACTTTGTGTTTTGTTCGGCTGTTCATCCTCTTTGTGTGCATACGGGAATTCATGCTCTAAAAAAGTAACATCTCTTGATGCAAAGAACTTGCCAGACTCTAAATCATACAAGCTCCATCCTTTCTTTCCAAAAGGATACCCAACAAAAACACACCATTTGCTCCGACTAACAAATTTATCTCCTCCATGTCCATGATTGTGCGCATGTGCTAAGCAACCAAAAACTCGCACATTATCATAAGAAGGAGGTCGCCCAAATAGCATTTCATAGGGAGTCTTTCCCTTCAACATAATGGATGGTGTCCGATTGATCAAATAACATGCGATCAAGACACATTCCCCCCAAAAATCAATAGGCAAGATAGCTTGAAAGCGCAAGGCTTGGGCAACATTGAGTATGTGGCGGTGCTTACGTTCAACCCTCCCGTTTTGTTGAGAGGTCCCGACACAAGTGGTTTGATGAATAATACCACTTTCAGCAAAATAACTACCCAAGCAAACAAACTCAGTCCCATTATCAGTAAGGATCACCTTTACAAGTTTGTTAAATTTCCTTTGAACCATAGCAAAAAAATTTCGAA